ATCTACATCTGGCGATCATGACATGTATGAATGCATTAATAGTGACCAAGTTGTTAATGGCCATGTAGTTAATGTTATTAATATTGAAGCTACAGATTTTAACTAGCTCTTCTAGTTTAGCTGTAATCACAAAAACCGCGGGGACACTTTCATTTGACTGGTTAGATATTTAATTTGTTTAGCTTAATGGAAAATTGAGCTTGATATTTGTTTTTAGGATTATTTTATTGACGAGTGCCCGACAGTAATAATAGGTGTTACTCACCGACAATAAAATGCATTTTAACGGCATATTCAGTACCGTCTGTCCGTCTCGTGGCCCGCACTACGAGTCCCGAGAGTCCGGCGCCCAAACACTGACCATCTAATAAAAACTCTTTGTGCAAATGGTTGGGCCTGTGATGGGTCTCAATGTCTATCACCGGTTCCAGTCTATCCATCAGACACTGTATGATTGACTCAACCTGTGCTTCGGCCATATGTTGAGCCGGCGGGTGCTGTTGACCATCATTGCTGGCAATCGATGCTTTAATCACTATTGGCTGAACTGTTGATTCATTTAATGTACATAGGTCAGTTGTTGAACTTTGATAATCGTGAGTCTTAACGGGTTGGTCGTCCTGTACTTTTACTATTAGACATTGTGACGGCTCTACCATGTATTCAGTACCAGTGCTAAACTCAAACACATATGGTTTATCTACCTGTCCATTATTGCTATAATCTGTAGCTTCAATATTAATAACATTAACTACATGGCCATTAACAACTTGGTCACTATTAATGCATTCATACATGTCATGATCGCCAGATGTAGATAATAATTGTTCAGTCGATGTATTAATTAACTGTTCATTTAGCAACTGTTTAGCCGTCAACTGTGCCATAGTATTCAAATGGTTGTCATAACCGCTGGCCCTGTATTTAGCGCTCAGGAAATGCTGAACAAACTGAGTGTTTATGTCATACGATGTGTTGTCAACACTGATTGTGTCGGCAATCATAGCCCGGACCTCACTGTCCATCGGTTGCATCCATTGGTCTCTAATGTATAACAAGTCTATACACGAGTGACGGACAGTACTTATGCCAGTAGTTAGGTTTAAACACATGTCAAATATGTTGGAGTATTTCTGATTGAATGTATTCGTACTGTAGCTTATGATGAAAGAGAGAGAGAGAGAGCTCTGGGAGAGTTTTTACTATGTAAACTTGCATTGATTTACATAGAGTCAT